TGTATTTGTCAACAGAGTTGTTGCGTTTTTTCTTTCTGTGTGCTAACAATTTTGGCGGTGTTTCCGTATTGTAGCATTTCTGCAAACAGTTTCTGTTACCAAGGTCTGCGCCGAAATTGTCAAAAACAGAAATTGTTTGCTGGGTATATATTTAATATAGATATATATGTTTTTACAATTAAAAAAAAGAGCAAAAATTTAAAACATTCACGGTCTACGCATAGAAGAAGCAAAATGAACACAAAGTAAGAATAAGGAGACCTAACTGCACAGATTAAAAGTAGCTATGAAAAATATTCTTTTATAGAGCCAGGTTCACTAAAAAGAATAATTTGCAACATTTCATCGCCATCTTGAAATTGTAACTAACAGATGGTGAGAAAAGATTGTAAAGGGTTAGAAAAGCATGAAACGTATGAAGTTACAATAAAAAAATAGATAAATAAAAATGTTAAAAATCTTTAAAAAATTTTTTTCAAAATTTATAGTAAGTAAAAAGTAATAGAAATAAAATTAAGAAAATTAAATTAAAATTAAAAAATTAATTAAAATTAAAAAATTAATTAAAATTATGTAAGTACAAATTAATAAAATAAATTAAAATTAAAAAATTATCCAGCAAACAAAATAATAGTAACATAACATTAATTTATATTACTGTTATTTTGTTTGCTTATACACTATATAATATAAATAACTATGTTTATCTTTAATATAGTTAATAACTAGATTAAAAATTGATTTAATACTATAAAAAATGCTTTTTCTATTAAACCTGTTCTACAAAATTATATACTACAAAACATTTTTTTTTACGACAAAAACTTCTTTTTCTCGAAAAACCTTTTTACAAATACTTCAAAATCTTCTTTCTCTAAAACCCTGTTTTACAAAAGAAGTAATATCAAAATGCAAAAGTAAACTTTTATACGTTATTATATTGAAAACCAATATACAATAAAAAACAATATTAAATAGATATATAACTACTATAAATTTATCTAAAATCTATTCTACAAAAGACGTGATATATATAAGATATTTGTGTAAAATGAGAAATTTATGTAGACTTTATAGATCACGTTTATATCCGAAGTACTCGACATTATAGATACCAAATAATTTGTTAGTGAAACTAACAAATAACCCATCAAAACTACATTTTTCGTGATTATTTACAAAAACTTTTACTAGAACACAGAATTGTAACAACAAAAGAAAACAGTTTTTTTTTGTTTTTTAATAAAAACTATTTAATGTAAAACAACTTGGCGCGATGTTTCGCTGCCGCAGCGTGCTGTATGAAAAGGTACCTTTACTACCTTCATTGTAGGGTAGTGGGCCCAGTTAGTGTGCCTGACCCAATTAGTATGTGTTTGCATTCACCTAACGATTATTAAATAAATATTCAAAATAAACATTTCAAGTATTTTTTTAACAAACTTAAGTTAATAAAGATTACATTTAGAACACAATTTAATATTATAAAAGCGTTAAATAACAAAACATAATTTTATAAAAGTGTATGTAGCAATTGTGACGAATTTTCTCAAGTGTCTTGTCAAAAGTAGTAAGAAATGCTTTTATAAAAACAGCAAAAAAACTAAATATTTATACAATTTTCGTTAATTGAACTGCAGTATTTTATGTGAAAAAAGTTTAACTTTATAGAAAAAACAAAAAAATGTACTTTAAAAGCATTCTTATTATTATTTAAATCGTGTCCACTAATATCGCACAATTTGAAGCTTGTTCATGTTAGTGTGCTCCTTCAAGCGTATGTTTTTTCTAACCTGTTTTGCTGTGGCACGAGTTTGCGTCAGTTTGCTCACAAAAAACAAATCAGGTAGAATTAACATATTTTTATTTTTTAATGAGTAGGTATTTACTGTACTCTTAAAACATATTAATTAATTATTATTATTATAACAGTTACTAAAATGAGCTGCATCTCAAAAATAAAGAGGAAAATATACAGTAAGAAGACTATGTTGAAAGCTTTGGAAGCTGTAAAGTCTGGAACATCTATTAAAGCAGCCAGCAGACTTTATAACATTCCTCGGTCATCAATTCATAGTAAAGTCATCAATAAATACAACACAGATAAGCCTAGTCCAAGTGGTGTGTTGAGCGACTTAGAAGAAAATGATTTAGTGAAATGGGTCCAAATATCATCATGGAGATGATGCCATAAAGATAAAAATTCTTGATAAATGTGCATCTGTAATTATTATTATGTGTGTGGAACAGAGATAATATTTAAATACTATAATATTTATATACACTAATATTTATTATACACTATTATACACTATATAATATTTATAATATTTATTATACACTAAAAACACTTGTAATTTCAAAATTTATCACTGTGAGTCACAGTTGGAAAATAGCACCAACAGAAAAATCATGTACCTGTGCGGCCTTTCTGGAATGGGAAAAGCTAATTTAGTCAAAGCGTTGTCTCGGGCGTTGAATTGAAAATGTTTCGAATTTAATTTAAATGAAATGACAACTCTAGAAGATATTAAAGGTATATCAAGAACACTTACAGAGGGAAAGCCTGGAGGTCGATTCTGTATCCATGCAATGTAGTGAAAATGACAAAAGTGAGCAAATTTACTAGTTGTTGACCAATAAGATCATAGATATTTTAGTAAATTTGCTCACTTTTGTAATTTTCACTACACTGCGTGATACAGAATCGACTCCCTGGTATAATTGGCCAGGCTTTATAGAAAACAAAATCTGAAAATCCCGTTGTTCTAATGTGTAAGAATCGTCGCCACAGGTTGATTAAAAACTTGATTTATTCACAATTTTTATATCACTATTACAATTTTCACTTATTTTATTATTTGCGACGCTTACAATAATTACTTATGTTGAGAATAATTGTTAATTTGGAACACTGCTGTACCAAGTGCAGAAAGTACAAAGCGAACAGCTAAAAGAGCTGTATTGATCTATGGCTGCTTTCCTTTTAGGAGACACAGTCGACACAAGTCGACACAGGAGTCATTCTGTCTCTGTTTCTCACTGAATACCGAACAAAGACAGAATGACTTTTGTGCCGACTTGTGTCGACTGTGTCTTCTAAAAGGAAAGCAGCCTATGAATGCAAGTTATTTCCGTTGTTCCTTTTTGTCTGCAGTCTTTTGCAGTGTTGTTGCGAAGTCGCGTTTTCGCGCATGCGCACTACGCTGCTAGAAGAATGCAGTAATGTACATATATATGCACGTAAATGAGGGGCACCAACATGTACAGTTTTGGCGGGATCTCGCAGTAGGTAGGGACTGAGAAGGTTAAAGAGCGTAGGATAATTTTAATTATAATAATTAATTAT